TTTGGATTTATAAAACTCCTTATACAAAAGACAACTCAGTTCACAGTACAGTAATGAATTAGGTTTTTTGTTGCAAACATGACAGCTCACAAGCATCTCAGACCCACTGCTGGACCACAGAAAATGTTTTCTTGAGTAAAGGAATGTTGGCCAGCATACTTTATAAAGTGTTGTTAATTTTCACCTGCAAATTCATCCAGAAAAAGAATTCTATGTTTAAGGTCTCACCCAAAGAATGATCAAACATATCCTATTTATTCTTGAGCCAAATGCTGTAATGGAACCTAAATTCATAATCTGATGGCTCAAACTTAACACTTGCCTACACTTGAATGTTGTTCTAAAATAAGGGTTTGTACAAATTTAAATGTGAAATACTATTCCTGAAGAATTCCATATATAGACATTCTTGTTCTGGACTAAAAGTGTTTGCTCCTGATTTAGCATAAACCATTTCCCCATGTAAATTCCTGAATGGCTATTCTTGAATAAACCCATATGTAGAAAAGCCCTTAGTGAGCTATGGTGTAACATGAGGGATCAGTCAAGTGACACCAAAGACAGCAGTTTGGCAACATAGATAACTACTGGACATTATTTGTGGATATTACTATGTTTGGAACATAGCTCTGTGATCACTTTTAACCATGAATATTGTGACATGAGAAACACTGTGCTATAAAATAAATTATCTTCAATTAAAGTGAGGTCCTGAAACTTGTCCTGTTAAAATCAGTGGAAAGTCCCATTTACTTCAACTACAGAATTGTCTGCTCTATTAATGTCAGTAAAAACTACAATCACAAGAAATACTAAACGTTTTATCACTAGGTCAGCTTTTATGATTATTGTTGTAGGCATGAATCTTGAACATTTAGACTTCATTCACTTTATATTTGCAAAAAAGTATGCCTGAAACAACATTTTACAGTATATCTGTTTTTGCTCAATGTGCAAACTACCTGTGGCAATCCAGCTTTTAAATCTGTGTTCTCAGATCAGTACAGTCTTGAAATACGTATTCCATCTGATCAGAGTATCAGAACCATTAGCTGGCTACGTGAAATTAGATGTAATAGCTACTTAGTATCTGTTCCCTATCTCAAACAAAATAATATTTGAAGACCACAGCTCATCAATACCAAAATTCAGGGAACATTCCAGGTATCAGTGGACACTGACATTAGGATTGGTTTATGATTAAAGTTAGTAAAATTAAAGGCTTGACAGACACCCAACTGACAATTTGACATGCTATATTACAAGTAGTTTTAATTCTTAAATTGTTTATGTAGCTGTAATGATATATATTTCTATCCTCAATGGGACATTTGTATGTATAAGGTTTTAGATATTTGTAGAATTTCTCCATTTTTGTAAATTTGGATGACAAGTTATAATAAAAGGTGAGTGAAAATGCTACTTTCTTATAAAATCCAAAACAAGATTGTCCTTTCATTGTTTTATTCATCCTGCTGGACCTCGTGAACCTCTGTAACAATTCACATTGATAGCATTGATCTCACACCTCATTTCAAAAGGTCATTACATAAATTAGATGGGATCCTGCCAATACACACTGTTCACAACTTGATCCATGTGAACAGTCTCACTGACTTGAATGCAAATAGCTCACGTGAGTCAAGTTACTCACCTGCATATGTTTTTGCAAAACTGAGGTGTGGAGTTGATCTTCTATTGGACTTGACCCTGCAAAGTGTTGATCCTCCCTCAAAAGCTAACAAGGACAACAGACATTCTCTAAAAACTGTGTGACGCACGGCTGTCCAAAATTTAATGGGAACTGGGCATTCAAATTTATAATGTACCTTTGAAAATCTCAGCCTGTGTGTTAGTCTAACTGAAACCAAAATCTCTTTAATGTACCAACATATTCAGAAAGCATTTCTCAACGACTGATTTTCATTTTAAATGCCCCTCTATATCACTACAGTCCAGGCATTTGCAAGTTCTTTAAACGCAATTATGCTTTTTTGCTTCCTTATGATACATAATGAAGGCTCTAAAGACTGCATTTTTATAATAAAAGATACAATTTGTTTATTTTCCCCTTAGAAATGTCAGAAATATGTAGCTTGTTTTTTCATTTGTTTTGTTGGAGGTTATTTTCATAGATCTCAGATGTGGATCCTGAGCTTTTTTAGCCACTACCTGAAGCAAGTATGGATGCTAAAAACTGAAGAGTAATATATTTTCTCAGCTGTGTTATTTGGGCATTTGAACTAAATCAATGGTAACAAAAAGAACAGTGTATTTTAAACAGCCAAATAAAAATCATACCGTCTTTTAATTAATTAAGCTTAATTATAGAGCATCTCTGATAGCATAATTCTATCAGTTTTCTAACAAACTTTGGAACCTTCTAGGAAAAAACAAAGGACAGACAAAAAATTAAATTTCTCATAAAAAGAGGAAGAACAAACTAATTTTGGAGAAAACAAAAGTCTTTAAAAATGCTTCTTTATTCTTCAGAAAAAAATATGCAAACCTGTTTTTCCTTTGCAAATCACCTTTAGCACTGACATACCAACTTCAAAGGTTTTTCAGTACAAAACTGAAGTGAACACAAGGAATTTTCATCACCAACTTCACCTAAATAAATTCTTTTTAACTTGGGATAATCACTAGATACCCAATCAACCTCCATAAAAGGAAAAATATCTTTGTGAAAAAAAGTGCTTACTCCTACCTACCATCAGAGAGCACAGCATGCAGAAGGGAAAAGGCACCTAGCAATACCATTACAAAGCTCCATTGTGCTAATCCTTATTTATAAGAACAGGTCTTGATTTTGTAGCTGCAGTTAAAGCCACTTCCATGTGTGGAAGTTACCACGTCTGAGTTGACAATGAGATGCAGTTTGCCTAAGGCCAAAAGATAGTAGACGCAAATGAATATTTTTCTTTCACTGCCAATTTGGGGGATTAAAATGTGTGTCTTTAAACATGGATTTTTTTTTTATTTGGAAAAGGATTCCATGAAAAAAAACCCTTCACCTCATTTTAGCCTTTCACAGCTGTGTCTTAGACCAGTAAAACCAAACACTGCAACAGCTGCAGTGAGAAAAGGTAGGCAAATGAAAAATGGAATAAAATCAGACATTTTGGGAAACAATAACTATGAAATACTTTTAGAAGAGTTAGCTGTTCTGACTTATTCAACTATTTGGCATAGGTAGGTTATCATGTGTTTAGGGTGCTATTTTTATATGCATGTGGTTACACAGGGAATTTGCATAACATTGCTAAACACAAATGTATATATAAATGTACATCCATGTATGTATATGGACAGACAGATTTACTAAAGCCCAAAAGGCAATTAGGCACTCAATATCTTTTAAAAGTCAATGTGGATAAATAGCCAAGACCCCTTTAGACCTATGAAATTTCCTCATTTAATGTAGACAAGTACATAGATATTGGGTGGCGTATTGGTTATTCAGCGTGAATGGACCAGATCCTCATGTGGTGCAAGTTCATTCTCTCTATTGGAGTCAATGGAGTTATGCTTAGTTATGTCAGCCGACTATCTGGTTCATAAATTCCTAACCTTAACTCAGAGTCCTAACTCCTGTGCGCTGAATATCTAATGGATATAAATATGCAAGTCTGATGTCTTCTTATTTCAGTGATGTCTTAATTTGCATCTCAAGTCTGTCACACTTTCTGTCAATAGCAACAGTTACTCTAATTCCTCTTAGAACAGGTCCCCAAGTACAGGAGCATATGCATGTAGAGGCACAAATAGCAGTGGCACAAATTTTTACCCCATTGCATGCTCTGCACATGCACTTCACAGCACACAGCAAATTGTCCTGGGTAGGGAAGGCCTAGGCTAGCACCTGTGCTGTCCCCAGCAGTATTACCTGGTGTCCTGATGCAGCAGGGGCACAGGTCTGGCAACACAGAGCCTGGCCAGCAGCCAAAGCATTGCTTTCGACTGCCAGCCGTCCATTTGTTTCAGGGCATGATACTGATGAATGCTTTGCACTGCTTTTTTCCCTGCAATTTTTTTTTTTTTTTTTTTGCTACCTGGATTTCCAGATAGCAAATTTTGATAGGGCTCACATTTCTCCAGTAGGGTTCACGTTTTCACGTTCCCTGCATGTGGTTTGGAGTACCACAAACCACGTGCCCCTGCACCTGGGGATGCTCTCTTAATGGACTTCCAGTTTCTGTTGGTCAGCACTGCTCCATCTATGTGTTTTGTGGCATCCCAAACACCAGATAGATGAGTCTGTAACAGAACTAATGAAGAATCCAGACCCAAGTCAACAGGGAGAGAATATGGAGCCTTATATAGGGCTCAGTCTTGCAAGCTGCTGAGGATACCCAGCATTTCGAAGGATCAAGCCTATAACCTTTGGGCTCTTGGATTGATAAATAAGCCTGATCATTTCATAGATTTCATAGACATTAAGGCTGGAAGGGACCTCAGGAAATCAGCAAGTCCAGCCCAAGGGCAGAAAGTCAGCTAAGGTCAAAGGATCCCAGCAAGATAAGCATCCAAACATCATGAAAGTTTTCATTTTTCCTCCACATAAATATTTTCTCCCCTTTTCCTAACTGCACAGAGATTTTTTCAGATCTAACTGGAGGTGGCAGGTTCAATATAGCAAACCATTCTTGTGGTGAATTATTTCCAGACCAGTCCAAATAAGGGAACGGTAGTAGAGATAATGAAAAGGCAGGCAAGGCTACAAACAGCATAACAGAAAAAAGCTCATCATCTGCCTTTTCCCTTCAGCTGTCTTGGGTGATACTGCTATGTCAGGAGATCTTATCAAGAGCATCAAATACTTTTCCACAATCCCTTAACAACAGGCTTTATCAAATTAATTATCAAAACCTCTAGGGAGAATTATCATCTTAATTCCATGCGGTTCAATTTCTTTTTTCCCATGTTTATGGGAGAGATAAACAAGCAGGGGTTCTGACTGAGTGGGTGTGTACATGGTACAAAAAAAAGAAACTCACCTACAACCTGGATGATTTCAGCCAGTAAGACTCCATCAGTCACATCTTGCTGCAGGTCCTTTATCAAGCGTTTATGGCCAGATTTTGCTAGATAGTGATTAGCCCAATCTGTATAAATCTATGAAAAAGGAAAAAACATAAAGACTAAATTCTATGCACTTGATAAAACCTAAAAATCAGAATCTTGTCTCTGACTCCATTTAAAACTTTCTCTCCGATTTTCAGACCTTGAACAGAAGATGCCTGCTTTCCAAGCTGTTTGAAATAAGCCAAACATTAAAATTCAGGGCATTGTGCAGATCACGTATTCAGCTTACTATAGTATGGCTTTTTTCTATTGAGAAATCTGACATCAGAGCTTCGGGAAAACCAAAGCAAGCTTCTAAACATGCTACAGCTTGAATGGAGCATCAGACATGGAACTAAATGGTCTGCAGCAGTGACAACTTTGCAGATCGATTTCTTTCTTTACCTAAGTATTTTGTGTTTTCTTTCTACCATTTTTCTCCTCGGTAGGAATCCCTTTTAAAGGCTATTTCTAAGGAATATCAGTCATAGAGTGGCTTGATTTTCAACATAGGCTCATAGGGCAGTTCTTCTTAGATGCAAAGACAGCTTAATGTATGAGTTCTATCCATTCTAATACATTCCCAGCCTCTACTAGATCCATTAAACTGATGTTAAAATTCCTTACAGATGTCTAATTATAGTGACTTACCATAAAATAAAACAACACCTCAAAACATAGCAAACAAATATAAATAAAGCAGTTAAATCAAGAGGTTTTAAAGATATGTATATCTTTTTCAAGGGCCAAGTCCTCCTTCCCACACACTGTACCAACTATAACAATAGTAAATACAGTGTCCATAGACAATAAAATAAAGTAGCCTATGATTATTTTTCAGTTATTTGGAGGTGGAGGATTCCAGACACTAACAGAACCAACTCCTATAGCATATAAAGAGGAGTAGCCATTTGTTAATATAAGAACCCTGAAAAATGGAATGAAATGTTGCTATCTCCTAAAAAATGCTGAGAGTTTGGGACTAAAAGTAAATGAAGTTATGAATTCAAAAAGACCATAGTCAAGAAAAACATTAAGAAAAGTGAAACCTGAAAATGGATAACAAGAGGAACAAAACCACAGAGCTGTAAGCTACTCCATGTGCCTGCCCACAAAAAAACAAGTGACTTACAGGGCAGATGAGCACTGTATGCCTGGAAGACCAGCCAGACCTATGTCATAGCATGGTTGGGGTCCACATGTAACACTGAACCAGTGCACTGTGAACCAGTTCAAAAGGGTACCTGTTATTCCAGATGCCCTTTTAAACCATTCCAGGTAGCTTTAAACCAGTCTAACAGGCTTGTATATCTGTCTGTTTCAGGTTTAAACTGTGTTTAAATAGGGCTATTAGATGTGCCCATATCCTAAAAATGCTTAACAAAGACAGCTTTTAGAGAAATCTGCTGAGCTTGATTCTCCTCATTTAGAACTATTTTAAACAAATACACATGAAAATCAAGACCACTGAACTATTTTTGGAAACTTGTAGGTTTGTGATGTTGATTTCAACCTGACTAAAATTAAAGTTAATCAAAGACACAGTAAATAGATCATTATCAACTTAGCAGATAGGGTACTCTACATCCAAAACTGGTAGAATTACAGTCAGGTAGTCTGGGATCTATATTAATGGGGCAGTTTGGTTACTCATTTATCTTCAAGGTAAATGTAGATATTAATTCAACTTTGATTTCAGAATCCTCCCAAACAAATCACAATGTTCACCTACATTACTATGAATTAAGTTGTTTCTTCTAATCACACTGTGCTAATGACTGTCATTAGTAACTCAGGTAAAACACATTCATTGGGCTATGCCAGTGTCAACTATTAGTACACTAAACAGGCCCAGAAGGGAGACCACTATACTATCTGCTCTTGTTCCAAACAAGAAAGTATGACAGACATTTTTCATATCAGTTTTGTGAAAAAAAAAATTTAATTAAAAAATCTGTAGAGGCTTATTTCTATATCAGGATCAGTTCCTTGCTTACAAGAACAGAACTCAAAACACATTTTGAGCCAGATTCTTCCCTGTATCCTATGCTTAACAGGTACTCCAGTAGTGCATACAAGCTCAAGAGAGCATGCAGACTATGCTTTCTAGGTCTTCTGGAAAATTAGGGTTGAAAGGGACCTCACGGATACAGTATTCCAGATGTGGCCTCACCAGTGCTGAATAAAGGAAAATAATCATTTCCCTTGATCTGCTAGCAAAGCTCCTACTAACGCAGCCCAGTATGCTGTTAGCTTTCTTCATAATTAGGGTACACTGTTGGCTCATTGTCCACTGTAACCCTCAGGTCCTTTTCTGCAGAGCTGGGCTTAACCAGTCAGCCCCCAGTTTGTTCTAGTGCATGGGATTGTTTCATTCTAAGCGCAGGTCTTTGCACTTGTCCTTACTGAACATCATGAGATGGCAGAATTGAGGCCTTTACAGACAATGGGCTGCATTCTAATTTTCTATGAATAGAAATAAAGGTCACTAAGTAAATAAAGGAATTATATATAGGTATAAAATCAGAATAAGTGAGAAGAGAATCAGAAGTACCCTCCTCTTCAAGAACCAAAAGCCAACTCCTAAACCCACCAAGTAAGTACCAGTATTCTTTCTTCCCTCCTTGAGAGAGAACACTGGACAGAGACAGAGAGAGGGAGAGAAAGAGAGAAGAAAATCTGTGCTTTCCTTTCCCCCACTACAACTAGCAACTGGCTGTTAATTAAAAAAGGGTAAGGTAGAGATGGCAGGGCATGAAAGACTTCTTTCTTAGTAAACATCTTAGTAAGTGTATTTAGACTCATTAATATTTTTCTCTTTGTATTTTATTTTTATGTAACACGATCTGGAAAACAATGTTGACAATTGTGCTGACCATAACACTGAAGTGCTGAATAACATTTTATGGTTTTCCCTCATTTGTCCTCCACTTCCACCTTTACATTTCAGATTAAACGGGATATGCATTTACTATTAAGCTAGTGGTATTGTGCATTTTAAAAACAAAACAGGCTGAAACATCTCAGTGGAAAACATCTCAGTGAAACAAATGCTGACTACATATGAGTAACTGATTTCCATTGTCAGGAAAAAAGCCCTCACATAACAGAAGAAGTTCTTTAGATCCTTAGGCAGGAAAACATTTTTATGACAGAAAAATATGGTTCTAAATGTGCAAGAATGTTAAAGAAGTAGGACTAGGCAATTCCAACATGGATCAAAGGGGGCAAGAGTGTTCAAAAGCCCCCATGGCTCAGCAAAAGCATCCAGGAACATCTCACAGCTAACAAAGAGGAGCACACCCAATGGAAGGGAGGGGCCATCACCAGGGAGGACTATACCTCCATTGCTCAGGATTGTAGGGGGCGCTGTTAGGAAGGCCAAGGCGGAGATGGAACTGGGACTAGCGACCTGGATCAAGGATAACAAGACATCTTTTTTTAAATACATAGGGAGCAAAAAGAAGGTTCTGGGTAACGTGGGCCCGCTGCAGGACATGTGAGGAAATCTGGTGGTCTCACCAAACAAAGCTAACCTATTTAACAATTTCTTTGCCTCCATTTTTCTGAGCAGGGACCAAGTCATCCCCACCACCGGGATTCCCTATGGTCCCAGGGGAGGCGCAGCCAGGCCCAGGGTCAGAGAGGACCTAGTCAGGGAACTTCTGGTGGGACTGGATGTGTTCAGATTGGCAGGTCCTGACAATCTCCACCCCAGAGTGCTGAGGGAATTAGCAGAGGTCATTGCGGGACCCCTGGCACAGCTTTACGGGCACTCATGGTGCTCTGGCAAGGTGCCAGAGGACTGGAAAAGGGCCAATGTGGTCCCCATTTTCAAAAAAGGGAGGAAGGAGGACCCAGGAAACTATAGGCCAGTTAGTCTTACCTCAATCCTGGGGAAGCTCTTTGAGAAAATTATCCAGGTGCACATCTGCGAGGGGCAAGCAGGAGAGTGTATGCTTAGGGGCAACCAACACAGGTTCATTAGAGGCAGGTCCTGTCAGACCAACCTGGTGGCCTTCTATGACCAGGTCACAAAATCCTTGGATGCAGGTGTCACGGTGGACATAGTGTTTCTGGACTTTAGGAAGGCCTTCAACACTGTCTCTCACCCCTTTCTCGTTAAAAAATTAGGAGATTGTGGTGTCAATGCCTACACAGTCAGATAGGTCACCAATTGGCTGGAGGGCTGCACCCAGAGTGTGGTGGTGGACGGGTCATTTTCGACCTGGAGGGATGTGGGCAGTGGGGTCCCCCAGAGCTTGTTCCTTGGACCCACACTGTTCAACATCTTCATCAGTGAGTTGGAAGAGGGGGTGAAAAGCACCTTGTTCAAATTCACAGATGACACTAAGATGTGGGGAGAAGTGGGCATGCTAGAAGGGAGGGACAGGCTGCAATTGGATCTGGACAGGTTACAGGGGTGGGCGGATGAGAATAAGATGGGATTTGATACTGACCAGTGCAGGGTACTGTACCTAGGGAGAAAGAACCAGTAGCATACCTAAAGGCTGGGGAGCTCTCTTCTCGTCAGGACAGAGGCAGAAAAGGATCTTGGAGTCACTATAGACTCCAAGATGAACATGGGCCATTAATGTGGGGACACAGTCAGGAAGGCTAACCTCGTCATGTATCCACAGATGCATCAGGAGCAGGCCTAAGGAGGTGATCCTCCCCTCTATATGACATTAGTCAGGCCGCAGATGAGGTATTGTGTCCAGTTCTGGGTGCCGCACTTCAGAAGGGATGTGGACAGCATCGAGAGGGTCCAGAGGAGGGCCACTCGCATGATCAGGGGGCAGCAGGCAGGCCCTATGAGGAGAGGCTACAAGACCTGAACCTGTTCAGCCTCCACAAGAGAAAGCTGAGAGGGGATCTCGTGGCCATCTACA